GTGGGCATCTGGCATCTAACCAGGGTCAACCTACCACAGGAACTCACATACACGTCAGTAAAATCTCATACTCTCTCCAAATACAACATCATGCCTTCAGAATAACAGAAGGATGTTCCTTTCAACAGGCATGAAAATAGACACAAAAAGCCTGGGAAACCCAAACATTTCATTTCAGATGAGCAGCTGCTTCAGAACTGAAAATAAATTTACCTCTAGTCCCACAGGTCTTTGCCTCTATTCCCTGGGAGATAACAAAGCTAGTTCAAACCTTGGATACAGAGCCACATGAATCCTCATTTGTTAAATACATCCTTTTTTAAAAGATCAGACATGCATGAAAAACCTGTGTTCAGGTAGCCTGGAAGACTGCATATGGGTCACAGTTGCTCAGAGCCGCTCAAACCCAAGTAGTTTTCAAAATGCTATCACAAGTTTGCATCAATGCAGAAGAGATATAGTAACCATTAAAAATAAAAACAAAAAACAAAGTGAGACCAGTGACTTGTATTACAAACGTTCTACCAGAAAACCAGAGGTCTCCTTGTCTTCCAGGCCTCAATCCCCATCTTACAGCAGCACAACCAGCTTCTATATGTTCTATACTTTCTATACCTTCTATAACTGCCATATGTCAGAAAAAAAGGGCATTTTGCTGGGCATCTGTTTGTGCACTTCTTAATCGATCATGACTGAAGTTATATGTCAAGAAGCATTGTTTCCAAAAGGGTAATTCTAAAGGATGGGAAACATGCTTTTCTTTATATCCCCTGTTTGCCCAATTTTTTCAATTGCAGGTTTTGGAGAAAGGATCTCAAGCATGACCAGCTAAAACTTAAGTATTCCCCAGTTATGGCCAACGCAGGCTTTTGCTTAGATCAATACAATCCACACGATGATAAAGTGAGTTAGAAGAACTGAAGTTAATGTTATAACTTCACATGCATTGCACAGAAATTTAGGACAGTGTTTCAGTAGGGGACAAACATGCCTCCTCTTCCTCTAACAATACAACTTTCCGTCTGGACAGAGACATCACGGACTGTATGACAGCTAAAGAAACTCTAACAAAAATGCGCAAGGCAAGAAAAGCAAATGGGATTACAATCTGCATGAGATGGAAAATTGCTGTGCTAAATTCACTTAACAAGCATGTTAGAAAGAAGGCCCCAAGGCTCACACAAGGGTAGAGAGCCAGCTTGGCAAACATGAAGGCATGCTCCTTGCCACCATATCTAGCAAAAGGATGCAAAGTTTCCCTTTCATGGAGGAGGGCTGTAGTCCATATGGCAAACTGAAATATACTGGCAAAGAAAGTGATAACGCAGCTGACCTGAATGGCTTCTATTTCATTGTGAGACTTCTCTGCAAATTCGCTTGTCAGCTGGTAAGCTAGTGGAAGCCCACCAATGAAAGACAATGAAAGTATGTTAAGCAGTCCCATTAATCGCGTAGCTTTTGTTACATAAAGGAAAAGCGAGTGATGGACAAACCACAGGAGACCAATTGTTACAAAGGAGCCAAAGTAGGCAAGGTAGTTTGGCCCATATTCACTTAAAGCTTCAAGAAGGCTTCCATGGAACTTCTCCTCAACTTCTCTGGGATCAGGGACGTTGTCTTCACTGTGGAGAGAAAATTTACTTTACTTTGCATGTTACTGTTATAAAAACACACCTGAAGCAACACTGAACTATGTTGCTTTACTATGAGCAAGTAGGAAACAACAGGCAACCACTCTGTAGTTCTCTAATTTGTAACTTAAAAACAGCATTTCAAATAACAGCTCTGCAAATAAATCTTATCTGAAAGGAAATCTGAAAGTAATGTGGCATTCCTTTAGGTTAATGTAATAAAGTTGCCATAGCGACTAAACAGCTTTTGTTGATAAAAGCCTTTTATCTGAAAACATAACTAAACAAAAAGGAAGCTTTGTTCTCCAAGACTCCCCACCCCATACATTAAACATACATTAAATAGACTGATGATCACTACTGCTGAAATGTGGGCATTAGAAGTATCTTTTGTTTGTGTTCTGTACCATACTTAAAGTAACCACTGCAGGTTTTAGAAGTCAAAGACAACATGTGGTTAATTTTATTTCCTCAAATATTACATACAGATAAAAGTTAATATTATATTTAACAGTACAAAGTGTAAGAGGCAACACAAAGCCTTACCATATATCCAGAATGAGCAGAGTTGCTACAATAGCATAGACTCCATCACTGAATGCTTCTACCCGTTCCTTACTCAGAGGCTCACTGAGGTAAAAAGTGAATGTTTCTAAGCTATGGTGTTCCTCCACTTCAACTCTCTGACCTGGAAACAAATCCAGGTGTTTACTAATGAAAGACAAAATCAGGTAGTATAAAACAAGGTAGTTAAACACAGTACTCTGACCTCCCTTTCTTTTTCTCCCCACCTGCCAAAATCTTTTCTAGAAAGAAGGGTGCTGTTCATCCACAAAGGTCAGTCACTCCATTTTTTTTGGCAGCTGTGCCTCTCCCTGAAGTTCATGCTGCTTTCAGGACAAGTGCTTCAGGGACAAAAACCCCCTGTCTTTTAAAGTGTATGGCAGACCATTTCCACCAAGTGAATAATGACTCGAAGCTGGAATTGAACAAAACATTTGAGCTAAACAAATCAGATGCTGTGCCTCAGAAAGGCCCAACAGCTATAGGTCCTCTGAGACAGTGTGGAGAACAACTACCGTACGGGAGAAAAAACTCACTGGACCTGAACTAGGACATCAAATGGCCTGCTTTAAAATAAATCTAGTCTTTGGTCAAAAGGTGGAGCTCTGGAGCTCCCACAGGAAATGTCAAACACATCCCTAAAGACTGGACTCTGACCTGCCCAGCAGTATAGACTGGACAAAGAAAAAGCTTACAGCTTCCTGAGGAAGTAAGGAGAGGAACTGAATGAAAAGCAAGTGTAATCACAACTCAGTCAGTAAAGCAGTAATTTATGTCAGTCATCTGACAGGGTGACCTGGCTGCAAACCACACTGCCCCCATGTGTTGTGGTTCAATCCCAACTGGCAATTAAGCACCAGGCAGCCGCTTGCTCTTCCCCTGGTGGGATGGGGAAGAGAACTGATCATACAGTATTACTGGGGAGAAAGTGATACAGGCACAGAACTTGCTTCCTACATTATTCAACCCCCATGCTCCCTTTTTTGGAACGAAAAGGGACAGATGGCCTGCAGCCGCCATTCACGTACCCGTTTGCGTGTGCATGCACATGCGTATTCAGGACAAACCAGAGCTGTTTTGCACTCAGAAATGATCTTTGAATGTGTTGTGCCTTACACAAATCTAGTAATGAATTAAGGGAAACCAGGGAGCAAAGGAGAAACTCTTTGGAAGCATGGCAATAAACCTCAAAATCACTATGTTCCAAGAGTTAAAATGGAAGTAGTACTAAAATTATTTCATTCCAGGCTGTCTGGATAACACACTGACATCCTAATAACATATCTGAATGTACTCCTATGAGTATTGTTACTCACCAACAATCTTGGTTTTACACCATGTAATGAATCGAGTGAGATGTGGAAAAACGATTACGAGCCCAAGAAGTACATAGGACTATGGAGAGGACAATGAAGATAGTTTAGATTTAGTTATCAAAATACAAATTACCTTTCAAGTTTAATATTAAACTATTGCTCTCAATCTTCAGATATAATCACATTGAGAAAAACAAATCTTAACTTTGCTCACCTGAAATGCACACACACACTTCCTGAATATTCCATGTGCAACCTAATACTGCTTTTTGATAGCTAATTTAGTACCAGCAATGAAGCAAGCTAAAACAAGAAGGGGAATAATTTTCCTAACAAAAATGTAGTAATGACTTTCTTGGGAAGTTGGAGAACTATCCCACCTGATCCTTACAGGTCCCTTCCAACTTGAGATATTCTATGATTCTACTTCTTGTGTCCTAAAGACACCTTAGGGGGTCATAAATGGTTCACAGGCTTTGCACTGGTCTAAGCACAAGAGCGACTTGGAAACTAATTTCACTGTTATTCATATGAAAAGAAAATACACTGGTGAACAAGGCAAGGGAGTAGAGAGAAGTAAAGGTGTAAAAGGAAAACGTATTTTCAGTTAAAATTAGGCCTTTTCACATTTGAACTCACAACTGTCCCTTTTATCAACAGCAACCTGATTCCTCCCAAATTTGAAGATTATTAAACACTACTAATTCCCATGGAATGTTTCTCAAAATTCAGTTAAATCTACCTTCTCCTAAAGAACAAGAGAAGAAAAGAAGCTCGGGATACATCCAAAAACTAGACTTCAGTTCCAAGCAGGGGTTCCAAGAAAGATAAAAGCTATTAATAAAGAGGAGCAACTCACTGCCACTTAATAAAGATGGCACAGAAAAAGGCTGTGTAAGAGAAGGCCTTAGCCAAAAACCTTTGTTTTGAGATGCAGGTCAGCTACCTGGTCTGTTTATTCTGTTTGCTCTTACACCCTAAGTTAGTGCAGCAATTATGTTCACTTGTCTTCAGTTTCTGCAACGTGATGTTTATTTCATGTATCTTTCCACATTATCTCACCTATTTATGATAAGCAAGATGCTAAATTACAGTTTAGAAGACCTGCTTCTAATTAAGAGAAGCATTAAAAAAAAAAAAAAATAGGCAGAGCAAGCAAAGCAAATGTACCAGAATATTCTTTCAAAACTATCCAAACTCATGGATCAAATTGTGAACAGGTATCTCTGAACTGAACACCTTCAATGCAAAACAGCAGCCATGCTTACTACACCACAGAACTGTCAACTGAGAAAGTCTGCATATTTAACATGGACATCATTGTCTTAATACACAGTCCTAAATACAACTAATATAAACAGCTGCTTCAAAGTTTTTGGTTAACTGGTAGAACTTACCAAAGGAATAAAGAAAAAAGAAAAGATGGCTGCTAAAAAGCATAAAATTGGTCCTCTTAGGATGATCTTTAAGATATGATGTTTATAGAAATTCTGATTTTCAGACACCTGTATCTGTTGATTCAGTAAGTGTGGGTGATAGAATCCATATGCTACTATCACAGCCTGCAAGGAAAAGAGTATTACTGAAGTTATTACATACAAGTATATGCATCCTTTTAAACATAAAACTGTAAAACTATAAATCAACTAATTACAAAACACTTTCAAACTTATTCTTCACACCCGCATGGAGGGCTGGTCTTACAGAGATTTCACAATACACTGTATGTCAAGATTTTAGTCTCCTCTGCAGAGCTTGTCATGACCATGGCTCTTATATTAAGAGGAAGGAAGACCTCCACAATAAGGAACAATGTAACAAAACACTGCCTCGGGACAAAACCAATGCCAGTGGACTGAGCCTGAAAGCTCACCTTCACTCAGTCATCACTGCATGGCTCAGTAAGTAGGAAAAGCCAATTGCTATTTCCCCAGGCATTTTTTAAAAGTGGGAAAGGAATTACTGTTCTGCAGACTTCGAGTTCAGCTGATTTAGCTGCATAAATCACCTTCACTGGACAGCTGCAATGGAAACTTTCATATTATATACAGATACCGTATTGTAATAAGATGCACAACTTTGAAAAAGAATGCTATACAAACAAAGAACACATTTAGCAATTTATACCCAGAGTTAAGAAAGTTGAGTTCTACCCAAGAAAATGCATTTAAAAGTGAAAACGTAAATAGAGAGCTCCAATACCTGTATAAGGCCAATGACAACAGCACAGACACTGAACAGGAAAATGCCAAAAGGTACCTCTGGAAAGGAGGCCATTAAGGAAAACTAGAAAAAAAATGCAACTAGATCAAATATTTAATTAAGAAGCAATGTAGGAATAGTAGTAGAGAAACAGAAGCACTCTTCATTCAACACTGAAACTCAAAAACCTAAGTAATACATTTCAACATAATTCCACTAAATGCAATTTCTAGCCACAAATACATGCAGGCATCCCAACCAAAGGCATCTGGAGACATGGCTTTGCTCTCACATTGATACTGCAAAACTTTAAACTCTCTGACACTATGTCTTCATAATAACCACAGACTGGCTTGTTAGCTGAGCATAAAGTGTTTTCAGTGGACATGATGTTAATAGATGTGAAAATTCTTGATATTAGGATACTTTTTTGAGTCTTTTAATTTCTCTACCTCCATGGCTCCCTACTGACAACTTCCCAAAAATTATTTCAGCTTCAAGGAAAAGTAAAAAGTATGTGCTCTTCCTGATAAAGGTCGTTTTACTGACCACAGCCTTATTCTTTGCAGACTAATATACAACACAAATATACCCACAGAGAAACAAGTGCCTGTTATACAGGTACAATAAAAGCCAGGATGCATTTTGGGCAACTGTTCTGTTCTGCTAATACGGTGTTCAGCTGCAAATATTCTTGCTAGGTCTAAAGATGATCTGATCAGAAATTGTGCAGAACATCAAATTTTCAGATTTAAAAAATGCATGACTGACTGCCAGAATCAACCTTGCTGAATAAGTCAAAAGTGGGACCAAGAACTCTGCTAGATTACAAAAGGAAAATGTTCTGTCATCTAAAGAAAAGGTTGAAACACTGCTTTAGTTCCCTTAAAAATGCTAAATTTTCAATAGGTAATTTTGACATTTTTCAATATAGCTGCTTTTTTAAAAAAAATAATGGTAAACTATTACATTACATGATTATAATTTTTCTTGGAGAATATCCATTTTCTGCCAGGTCTGTAAGATGCAGCAATTTAAGGTTATAACATGTCCTCATTAATTTTTAAAAAAGTAAGGCTTAACTATTACAATGGATTCAGGGTTTATACTATAATAACACTTTCCGGGGTTTCTGAATACTTTGGTAAAGTCTTTCAAAATAAATTAAGAAGAAAACCCCTGTAATTTAAACATACGTCAAATTTAGAAAAGTACTTACTGTGTATGGCAAGAAAGTTATGATCATCATACAAGCCTGAAAAAGAAAAAAGCATACTGAAACACTAGGTAAAATACAAAGCAAGCAATTCCCCCATTAAAGATGTGTCCAGAGAATGCAACACAAACATATCAAATACTCATGCTGCATCACAAAATGAAAAAAACCCACATTACTGAAGTTGCTGAGCTTTGTCTGTAAAAAATGGCTAGTTCTGTACACGTCTTCCATGTTTGCTATCCAAACAGTACAGGCTTATTTTAGAAAACACTACCGTTTTGTTACCAATACCACAGGCAAAAGTTTTGCTATGGTTCTTAACAGACTTATTTCTAAAACTGCAATGCCAAAAGTACCCCACCTCCTAAAGAGGTGTTTGATTTGTCAAAGTCATTAATCTCTGATTACAAATATTTAATATATAAAAAAGCCAAATTAAAAAAAACCCAAAACACCTCAAGCACAAAGAAATGCATTGTTTTGAAAACTACATTAGGTAAGAATGATATTAAGCTAGTCCTCTAACATTATTTCCTGTTGTGTTACCTTGTGGAGTTTAAACTCGGTATTTTTATTAACAAAATTAAATTATCTGTGTGGCTGCACAATGTCAGAGAACATAATTTTAAACAATATAGTAAAATACAAAACTCTAGTAATTTCCGAGGGCAGCAGGAGCTGCCCCGGGAACA